CCCCGCCAGAGAGACAGGATGCACTGCCGTGCGCCGCCCCCGGCCCGGCGGGCAGAGCGGCTGTCTGTCCCGCCCACTTAGTCGCTCCCGCTTCGACAGCATTTAGCGTGACAGTGGTTGGAACGCGTGACTGCGCCTCTCTGTAATTCACTGCCGTATAGTCAGTTCAGTTGGCGGCAATAATCCACTGACGTACACTGCTCCGCGCTGTGCGGCCCGTGCGCGTGGAGGACGCATCACTGGAAAAACTAATAAATATCGTGACAATGTGTCACACTACAAGGGTGACATCCTTGGTCTGTTGCTTGTGTGGTGTGGGTGTGACCATATTTGAAGGCCACGTTTGTGGTGTGATCTCTTATGTGTTCTGCCTAGTTCTGTCTATACCTTCTTAGATTGGTGTGATCTACACTCAGGTCTCGTGACACCCGCGCTGCAGACTAAAACCTCATAAACGTTTTGAGTTACAGCTTTTGCATTCCGTGCGGGTAATCCAAAAGAACGGAAGTGCGCACGCAAAGAAAATGCGCACTTCCGTTCTTCTGGATAGCTGGATGTCATTTTGGCGCCATGGGTCGTGAGTCTCACTTCGGAAGCGCCTGTCACCACGAGGGTAGGCAGGCCCGGCAGGCACGGCGCTGTGGGGTGTTGCCTACCTCAGCGCCTGCAGTCCCGCCAGCAGCCTCCGCCGTCTTTTCTTCTGATCGAGAACGCCTTTCCTAGGAGAAGGGGATCGGGTGGGATTCATTCCCAAAGTTTTTACGATTCAGTACCATTTTTTTTTTCGTTTGGTCACCCTGTTCCAGTGTGAAAGTACACAGAGTATAGAATGGGGCGCCTCACAACCCAACACCCCCCAAAGAGGCTGTTTTCCTGCCTGGCCACGACCCTGGCGGTGCTGCGGAGGGACGGGAGGGACGGGGGTCGGGGTGGCGATGGCTCGGCCGTTGCCTGCGGAATTTTCATTTCCCTCCGGAGAGGCATAGCAGTGGTGCTCCGAGCCCCATCGGGCCGATCCAATGATCTCACGGCAGCCTTGTCGTGCCGCTCCCCTCCCTCCCCCCACCTCCCTACCTCGACACTCGCCCCACTCCCATCCGGACACCCACCCCGCACCCCTCCCGATTCCAGGCCGCAAAGACGGGAAAGGGCGTCTAGTCATTGAGCGTTTGTTTTCTAGAAGCAAAGAAGAAACTAATTTTTCCTCTTTTGCTGCTGCTACTGGATGGGTGGCAAAAAGTGAAGACTTTGTGACTTGAGTTCCAATTTCCGGCCCTCGTGTTCTTTCCCATCCGATCCAATGGGGCTTATTGGTGGTGGCGACGAGCCTGGAGCGCGCTGAGGTGGGCGCTCGGGTGGGTGCTCGGGTTTGGCGCCCGCTGCCCGCTCCGGCAGTCTGCGGGCTCAGCAGGGCGGCCTAGCCCTCGGCCGAGCCCCGACGAGGCAGCGGTGACTCGGCGGAAAACAAAGTCAGGATCGCAACTTGATCCCCTGGTGGATTGGCACCAAGACCAAGGAGGAGAAGAGCATCCCCTCCCGGAGGGGGTGACGGCGGACGGGGACGACGGGGAGGAGGGTGCGTCCCCGGGGAGCGCTCCGGGCGCCGCGTGCTGACCTGGGTGGCTCCGGGGGCGGCTCCGGGGGCGGGGTAGGGAGGCGGCCGCCGCTCAGCGCAACGGGTTGGCTAACGCTGGGCGACAGCCCGCCGCAAGGACAAGAAGCGCAGAGTCTGGCCGCCCACCACGGCGCGGCAGCAGCGCGGCGCGGCAGCAGCGCGGCGGGGCAAACGGCATCATGATGCAAACAAGCGGAGGCCGTCTTGTTCGTGGAAAAGCACTCGTTGTTGAGGGAAACACCTCTGTTTATTTATTATAAAAACTTACAACAAAGACAGCTCCAAGAGCACATAGATTAGCACCAGTTTCTGCTGGACGAAGACAGTGAGGAAACATTACCTTAAGGTACTGAATAATTGAAAGTTGGCACATTTTAGAGTTTATAAGAAAATTATATGCTTGCCAAAGGCGTGAAGTTGCGAAGGTCTTCGTAACACCAGTGGACCCAACCGCCAAAATGAAGCTGGGGTGGCAGTTGAGTCCGTGAGGGCCGTGCATCGGTTGCAGATCCGACAGCAAGTCCTGCCGCCCGTTGGTCGGCGAGGTGTGAGGCTGCCCCGTGTTGGTGTTGCACTGCACCGCACGGCCGCACGTAGCCGTCAGTGGACACGTCAGAGATTAGCGCCTTGGGCGCCAAGAGCAAGGACACGTCGTGGCGTCAGCAGGGCCGAGAGCTGAGCAGGGTACAACTGGGTCAATGCGTCAAGGTCTTGGCGCCGTCAGCCGCATCCCCGGGACGGCTCACACGCCACCCTCGACCACAACCCCTAGCTAGGTCCGGATCGGCGCGAAGGGTGCGTAGTTCTGGTAGGCGTAGGGCAGGTAGTAGGTGTTGGCGTAGGACGCGGTGTTGGCGTACACGAAAGGGCTGAGCCCGCTCTTGGCCGGGTACTGCAGGCCGTTGCCGTAGTATGGATTGGAGGGCAGCTGCGCGGCGCACTGCAGCAGGGCGGGCAGGGTGAGCATGGCGAGCACTGCCAGGACCTGCGGAGCGACGAGCAGACCATCAAATATGCACCTTCCAAAGATGGAAAACCTACTAGCCATTATTGTAAAAAATGTCGGTGTACTTGTAACGTACAAACTGCAGATTTAAGGTCTAGTTTCTTTCATTCTACTTTTAACAATGAAAGTTTTCAGGTTTCATTGAGTTTTAATCTACTCTTACAGTGTTAAACTTTTGTTTACGTGAAAATATTTTGTACGGTGTAGAGAACCTTCTGACGTTGGATTTTTTCTTTCACAAGATCACGACCATTTATGCTTCCCGCCTTTTTGCAAAAGAGAAATGCGTCTGAATGCGCGGACGTGTCGCGCCGCCCCTAGCCTGACAATGAGGCTTGAGTGGGGCGCAAGCGGGGCGCAAGCGGGGCGCAAGCGGGGCGCAAGCGCGGCGCACAACCGGAACAACCCGGCCGCCACAACACAGACACAGACTGCTTTACTTTCCTTTGACACTCCATTTCCAGCGCGGCAAATTGGCGGCACTTCACAATGCAGCGGGGGCCACAGAGCGCCACCGCTCGGCGGTTGGGAGCCACGCCGAGTTTAGAGGCAGTGTAGTTCACTTTGTCTATCTTGTTGACTTCAATAACGCCCGGCAATGGAAACTTTGCATAGGAAGCAAGTGCTAAAATAAATTTCCGGGCGTGTAAAAATTTCCCCTAAAGCTAACAAAATGAATTTGTGGAAGTCGTAACAACTGCATAAAGTTAATCTCATGAGTATTATACATAATGTGAATGATACCTGAGTATTATATTTACAACATATTTTATATTTCACTGGTAATTGTGCCAACGAACGTATGTCCAAAAAAATCGAGTCGATTGAATTTCGGTCTCTTTTTAGAATATATAGTTTTTGTGTCAAAATACCTTGAAATACAAAAGCTGATTTTTTTGGACATACGTTCATTGACACGATTACCAGTGATTTTTGAGTTACAAATTATGCTGTAAATTTACGACAGCCCTTCTTGCTCGTCAACGCAAATTCCAAGTCGATACAGAGTGCTGGTAATTTTATGATTTCAAATTGTAATTTTACAACACACATCATGGAAAAATTTCATTCCATCCTTACAAGTTTTTCTCACAGCGTACAGACTTACAAATTTACGATCCGACAAGGCAGCGAGAAACTTACGGCAGGGGTTCGAGACGCGTACATCCTTATGCAAGAAATGAGCGACAGCGAGGGATGCCCTACACTCCGGATGCCGAGACACGATTGCCGAGCGGGGAGCGGCAGAACAATCACACGTCTTCTCCCACCACCCAATCCCTTCCCCACCCCTGCACCCTGCACCCAGCAAGGAGGGTAGGGGTGGGGCTTGGCTGGCCACATGATGTTTGTACACTGCAAAAAAAAATGAGTTCAACAGTTTGGTGGCTTTTAACACGTTGAGGAAAACGAAGAATGTCTCGGAAGCCGAAGGCTGTCGGAAGCACCGTAATTATCTTAGAAAAAATAGAATTACACCATATGAATGCATTTTACAAGGCAGTATTCGGCCCTTTTGTAAACTTGGGTCACGCCGCACATTCCTTCGAAGCCGACCTGGTCTGAAGTACTCGAAGAGAATGCCGTGGTAGGGTGCTGTTACGACACACTCCATAAGCACAACAACCGCAAATATGCTCTGTTTATGGTCAAGAAGGTGTCACAGACCCACAGGAAAACCAATTGTGTCGCACACTTGTAGGTGTGTGAACAACATTCGTATACATAAAGGTACCAATGAGTGTGGTTTAAGGAAAATTCACACCCTCACCCTTAAGTGTACAAATTGGCATTCACACACCTAGAAGTGTGCGACACACTACTAAGAAATCGACTACTTAGTTACAAAAAGCAAAAACTACATATGAGGAATTTGTTTGTTATGCAAGCCTTTAGGTGAAGGTTTAGAATTGCATGAAACCAAAAACGACCCAACGCTTGACCCTTGCTCGCCTGCACCGCGCGGTTTTAAAAGAATTACTTTGTTCACAAAAATCAGTGCGGAAGAGTCCATGCAAGAGAAAACGACACCGAAACGTAGCGAAACTTCTTATCATCATCGCCAGTTTCCTACTCTTTTTTTTCTACGTCCCCGAACTTACCGGGACGCTAACTCCTTACAGCCGGCGCTACCCACCCCGTCCAGTCCTGATTGCAGAATGACGGGCACATTCTTCGGTCCACCCCTCGGACTCCCCAGCAGTGTTGGCAACTCCTGCGGATGGATGGCTCAGTGAATTTTCTACACGCCGAAAGGTTTCTCCGCCGTGTTTCTTTTTCGCGTCCACCCCTGGCCGACCCGCGTACCCAGACTGGCTCTCGCTCATCCACACACTGTGAGAAATAGTTGTACACCGCCGGGTGTCCGGGAGAATGCGCGGCAGCTCGATGGGTTGCCTATGCACTGATGTGCAGGCGCGGAGGGCGAGGAGAGAGCGGTGGAGGTGGTGGGAGGCGGCCGGTTGTCTCCCGCCACCCCCCTCGCCCTCCGCTCCTGCACATCAGTGCGTAGGCAACCCATTGAGCTGCCGCGTATCCTCCCGGACACCCGGTAGGTATAGGTTTTGCGGGAAAATTTTCGATAAGGCGTGTCGTGAAGTCACAATTTAAAATTGTGAAATTACAAGCGTGAGCCTGCCTGGAGTCGTCGACGCTGCAGATCTTGATCGATCTTGGTGGCAGTAGCAAATACTAGAATTCACAGAATTCACCGAAAAACAAGATTAGTGTGTCAGGAATTTACAAGATATTTTGTAAATATTAATTACAAAATGTATCTTAAATTGATTTTCTCAGTGCAGCAGGGTATGACCAACCAGAGAACCACGCTGCTAGGCATGTGCAGCCTCTTCGCGTTGTTGATTCCTTGATTGCCGAGATCACACGCGTTCTCTCGCTCGGCCGCCCCTCGGGCCGCCCTGCCTGGCAGAGGGCCGTGCTAACGCGATGAATGGAGATCGATTTATTCTCGTCTCACTTGTAGCTGCGCCGCTCCTCGCAGGATTACAGACCACGGCGAGTTGGCCAACAAGTTGCCAACAACTACTTTCGTGAATGGCTCGGCCGCATGGCTCGGCCGCGCCCCTGGGGGGACGTGTATCCTGCGGACCGAGACACCGTCTGCCTGTCAAACAAGCAGACTGCCCTGTCATTTTCAACCCCAGCCCACACCACGCTCCGCATTGTCTTAAGCTCGGACCCTCCCCACCCTTGCACTGCAAGGTTGTTCCAAGTTCCAAGTTATGCCTATGATGCCACACCACTCTCTATGCTCTTCAACAAATTTGGTCCGCAGGTTTTTATTTCGACGAGCTACCCCAACGAAGACCATCAAATATGCGACTGTACGCCATACCACGACCACGTCTCACGTAACAGGCTTCGCGATATCTCACGAACAACTGTGACGCTGCGACGAGCCTGGCATACATCTACCTGTAAACCCAATAAGCCGGGTGAAAGACAGAGTCGTCAAGATGCCTTTGGCCTCACAAGTGACAAATTTTAGTCAAAAGGGTTTTATTTTGACGAGTCATCCCAACAAAGACCATCAAATATCCGAGGAAAAACATTAATTTGTTTTAAGGTTATTTCCGTGGGAAACTCTCTTTTGTGTTGTAACACCCTCTTTCAAATGTTCGCGCCTAAACAGGATTCGGCGGTATTGGACAGTTTTAGCGCAACCTGGCGGCAATCTTCTGAGTTACAAATCTGGTGTTTTCGTTCGAAGGGGCGGAGCTCAAGTACTGTACATTGCCATTCCAATACTTCGAGAGCACTGAGGCGAGGCTACCAAGTCTGACTACGAGAAATATCAAGCGGGCTGCACACTGCCGGAGAAAAGGTTAATTTCAAAACAAATGGCCCAGGACTATTTGGTGTATATGTGAACACCGAACTTATGTCAGAAGAGTCAAAAAATATTAGAAATGTGATTTTCAATTCCAGATTTTACATAGGAATTTCTTTCGACGAGTCTTGTAAATAAGAGCGAGGGAGGTTATGTTGCCCAGTGGGCACGGCCGAGGCGGTCGAGACGTGTGATGACGCATTCTTTCCGAGCGGAGCCGCGCGCTGTGTAGCGGCGCGCGGCCGCCGCCGCCGCAGCCGCAGCCGCAGCCGCGCCGCCGCGCCGAGAACCACCAGTGTTGGCAAACTGAACCTGCCAGCCATACGCCGGCAGACAGCAGCAACGACAGCCGCGGCACCCTGAAGTTAACTTAAAAAATATTTCCACCACTTTCGTACCTTGTTGACCGGTGAGTACTGTACAACCACACGACATTCATGCAAATTTAAATCTTTGGAGGCCCAACCCAACCCTTGCCTTGTATCCGCCCGACCCTCGGACAGGCCACGGGGGTTATGTGTGCTCAAATGTGAGCGGTCTGTATATGATCGGTCCAAACGGCGTTTTCTTTGCACAACTCTGGCGGACCAGCCGAGCTTGGACCACCCTCAACTTTTTTTTCAAATTCGTTGGGTTGAAGGTTGTTTTTCTGGGAAAGCATCTCCTGGTCAGCGTCAGCAGCAGCACACCCAGCGAGCAATGATCAATTAATTTACATCAATTTGACATCATTTTGACGTCATTTGACGTCATTTTGACGTCAATTTACGTCATTTTGATGTAATTTTGATTGATGATTGCTCGCTGGGACAGTTAGCAGCAGCGGGGGAATACCCCTTTCAGGCGAGCAGGCAGAGTCAGAGCTCAAGGAGGAAGGCAAACTCGGCGTGACATCAAAATAACTTCAAAATAACCTGCGATTTCGATATTAGGGACCTTTCTGGGTCCAGGTGATGTCATAATGGTCCCCAATACTGACCTTAGAGATTACTTCTATTTCGTGCTAACGTTGCTTTCCTCCTTGGGAGAAGTGGAGAGCGGAGTTTTAAGCGAGTTGGACGCGAGTTGAGCGCAAGTTTGTCCCCAGATTTCGCAAATTTTCGCGGTTTGGACGTGAGTTTTTGCGAGCACTGCAAGTGAACAATGCATTGGCGAGTGGGGGGCCCCTCTGTTATGGTGAGGAGTGTGAACACGGAGAGTGCACTGGTGCAGTGTTCGCAGTCGTTCAACTTTTAGTCCAGTTCTTATTGGGCCAGCTCGGGCCAGCCGCAACTAAGTTATTAGGCTTTGCTCGCGGAGGCCGTGATGTGCGTCGTCTAGGATTTTGTCGTGCACCACTGGCAGGAATGCAAACAGCTGAGCCGTCGCTGGCTGTCTAGGGGCTCGGCGTGGGGCGGAAAAGGGTGGGGGGGGGCGCTTTTATGACTACTCGAACGCTGTGTCGGGTCCCGTTTATGGACGCAAGGAAAGAATTGTGAAGTATCTCGGTGAGAAATGCAATAGGATATACGTCGCCATTTAAAAATTTATCTTGATTTTGTTTGTCAATTATATCAACCCCGATTAAATCGCACGCCCAAGCCGCACTGCATGCACACATGTGGGTCTAAAATGAGGCCATGAAGCCCTTAGATTTCAATGCCACAATGGGTGACTCATACAATCAGTTTACCCATAAGACTACAGTTGTTGGCAGGACTTTATTCTCCAACGTTAGTTTTGAGAGTGTAGTTTACTTTTGGACGGCCATATCGCTTGTTTTGGCATTCCAGACAGCAGTGCGCTGGCCGGGTGTTTTTCCCGGTTTCTCCTATGCGGTTGGTCGGCGCAGCTCCAGAGGCGTGATGTGCCCTCTGACCTGCAGTGGTACCAACCTGACCGCCGGGCGCAGCGGGGATGTCCCCGGTGCCGGGCGGGGCGGTCCACCGCGGGATGTGTGACGGGGCAATGTTGGCGGCGGTTGCCGTTGCCGGGCGGGCCAGCACGGGGTCACCGTTGTGAGTTATGATCTGGAAGCCAGTGAGGATCGAACGGAGTACACTGTTTGCTCCTCGGACAGTCATAGTCATAGCAAGAGAGGGTGTCTTTTAGCAACGTAGATTTTAGGTTTAGGGTTCACCACACCACAGTTATCTTGGACTTAGTTTTTCCTTCAATAATTATCCCTAGTGATTCTAAGTAAACCCTTGGTGTTCCCTACTCGTTTATCTTAACATCTCACAAGCAGACAACGACGTAGTTATTAGGCTTCGCGTGCGCTAAAGCGCAAAACGCGAAGCTTCTAGCGCCCGGTCCGGTTATACTCGCCAAGATTTTCCCGTGCACGTACCTGCTCCCCAGCATCCCTCAGCAAGGAGACCCTCCCGCACCAAAAAAAAAAAGAAAAGGTTCGGGTCGGGGGCGGGGCAGGGGGCTGAGGGCTCCGGTCGGGGGGTGCCGCCCGGCTCGAGCTGTTGTCATCTGGTAGCGTAGCGGCAGACAATAGGGTAGTGAGTCGGTCGCTCTGACTGAAAGTGGCAATGACGTTCAAAGTTGGTCAAATATTGGTCCGATCGGTAAAATTCTTACAGTTTCGAAGTTTTTAGCTATTGTCCGTGGGACTGATACAATTTACTTATGGCAAAATTCGGTTGATAAAGTCTTGCCCTTACTGCAGAGCCGTAAGAAACATCAAAAATGTGCGAATTTATCCGGTTGGAATAATATCTTACTCACTTTGAACGACATGGCTACTCTCAGGCAGAGCGACTGACTCGCAACCCTATTGTCTGTAACTAGGTAAAGTGTGTCTTGTTAAGTGTATTTTAGTAAATTTAATGTGTTTAAATAGGTTAGGTTAGGTTAGGTTCAGTAAGTGTAAAATATAAGTAGGGTGTATGACAGTAGAACTACAATAAAAATGTTGTGTGTAATTAACGGGACCCGCTAGTTATTTTATTTTATGGACTTGTATCTTGATGTTTGCTTTACCATGTACGCCGTTCATGTTTAAGTCAAGGCGTTGTGCTGGCCATTGCCCACACCAAGCACGCGAAGCCTTCCAAAGCCACATTGGATAATGTGGACTTGACGGATTTTAACGAGTGATCCTGGGGGTTTCTAGCATTGAGATATCATAGTATAAATGATTTGTAGAGATTATTTACCGTACAAACACAGTGTAGCGCTCAGTATCTCACTGCCTCCCCGCCCTTGCCTGCCAGCCTTAAAAAATACAAGTAAAATTGTCTTTAGCTTACGGCAAGTGTCGTTGAAATAAAGTAAAAATGTCCTGCAATTAACTTAATTTCCTTTTGTTTTAAAGGAAATTCCTTTGTTTAAGGATGCCGTTTTCTGTTTTCACTAACTTTGTGGGCCTCTTTTTCTTGTTTTAGAACTGAAGAGGTCACACAATGGAGGATCATTTTACGTACGGTAAGAGGCTTTAAAAAATAGCGAAATAGATGTTTAAAAATCATGTACTAACCTTTGGCTTGTGAATTTCCTTCGACTTCTCCAGGTCCTTGCAGAGGCCCGTGCGCTGTCTGCGGACAGCCTGGCGCTGTCTGCGCGCGTTGCCGTGTAGCCTTCTACTGTGGAAAGGATCATCAGAGAATGCATTGGAAACTGCACAAGCCGGTCTGCGGTTGCCTCGAGGTGCGTATCTTCAAGCTCGATGTGTAACCACGACAAAGAGCGACAGTAGTGTAACACACTTTAATTCCGCTGCCATGGCGCATACACACACTCAGAGAAGTCAGTTTTTGAATCAAGCAAAATGTTCTTGACTTGAACTCGTACTTAATTATTGTACTTCTGCCAGGACCACACTACTTGATTGTAGCAAAAAGTGGCATTGATGCAAATAAAAGTATATTTGGCTAAGCACGTTATTCAAAAGTACAAGTTTAGGTCAAGAGCATTTTGCTTGATCCAAAAACTGAATTCTGAGGGTGGAGGGTGGTCCCCAGACCCCTTCCTTTATTTTGCTTACCGGATGCAGGCGTGCGGGCGGGTTAGCATACCGGTTGACCGGGAGAATACGCGGCAGCTGGATGGGTTGCCTACGCACGGGCGTGCAGGCGCAGAGGACGAGGGGGAGAGTAGGAGGTGGCGGGAAGTTGCCTTTCGCCACCTCCTCCGCTCCCCCCTCGCCCTCTGCGCCTGCGCGCCCGTGCGTAGGCAACCCATCCAGCTGCCGCGTATTCTGCCAGACACCCGATACTCGTACGGGGCCGTAAGGCGCCGCAGTGGGCGATGGTAGGCAAGCCCGCCCGCACGCCTGTATGCAGTACAGTATAAGCAAACTAAAGGAAGGGGTCAGTGGACCACCCTGTACGCACTGTGTGCCCAAGTAATGCCTAGAGTTAATGCGCGCAAAAGTTAATAACAAGTACTTTGTGTAAAATGTTCCGTCTAACATATGCGCAAGAAATGCATTAGAAATCTTTGACCTTCTAAAATACTTATTTTTATACCGTAATACTTTCGTATTTAGTGAATCCTTATGAAATCTTGGAGGGTAAGAGACGTAAATGTCTCGCTGTTTCACCCTCCTATGCAATGTCCACAGGTTCGTACTGACGAGCGTGTAGGCCGGCATATCGTGGCCATCAAGGACATCCCCGCCCGCACCATTCTCATGAGGGAGCTGCCGCTGGTCGTCTTTCCTTTCAACCCGACCCAGGCATTGCTTCAACCTGATACAGAGGACCTCGAACCCATTGAGGGCGGGAAGGTGAGCCCTAATTATGATCCTGTTTTGCGACGTGCGCTCTAAAGATAGTTCGAAGGCCTGGATTTATCTCAAACGACAATTAACACATTCCTTGCGGAGTGCGCACTATGTGGTCACGCTTCCATGTTAAATCATAGGCATCAAAAATTAACCGCAGGGAACGTGTTAATAGGCGTCTTCCACAGTATACTGACTTTGC